CTTTACAGATATGCTCAATCAATCACAAGTGTCATTTTATGGACACGTAATCTTTCCTTCCGACGTATCCTGTCATGTTATATGCGTTTATATTTTAGAGACAAAACTTGCCATATTTCTAGTGAAATTTATAGTATGTTTCTCAGCAAGATAGACATCTTACCGACAGTCTATTCTCCTGCACATTACTAGAAATATAGTGAAATCAAATGAAAGGAATTTACATGCAAAGGAAAACTAATACGCTGTCCGCGTGTACGTGAAAAACACTTAAGAAAACGACGACATGAGATATTTAACAAGATATGCTAATCCCCGACGATAGTACATTAACATTTAACATCGTCCGTCGTCCTTCGCTCCTGCCCGGCGATTCCCGCGAGCCCGGAAGGACGACGCGTCAGTCAGCATGTCTTCCTTAATTAATTAATATCAGGAAGAGAGAGAAGAGAGACGCGAAACAGGTTTTCCTGGAAGAGTCACGCGCGCGCCACGGCCAAGTACAAGATAATCGCTAATTATATCGAAGGCGCTCGCGCGGAATGATGGAAATATGAGGTTTCCGCAAAAACTTGTCGCACTTTTTCGCGACACGCGCGCGATTTGCGTGTGACGGCGATCAAAATAGATCCCGCATGCCCGTGGGACCAACCACATGGCGTGTCCGCCGCTCTTTCTGCGGGAATAGAAACACGCAAGCCAACAAAACTGACAGTTCATATCGCTCGTCCAATGGATCTTCGATTCCGTCGACAATTCTTTTCAAGCGCGAACTATCTTATACTGAGAAATCTATTTATATTAGAATAGAAGAATACTAGAATATCTATCTATATTAGAATAGAAGAATACTAAACTATCTATCTAACAGATAAATAGATTCGTCTACTGATGAACCGATCTATTTTAGAATATTAGATATTAGATATTAGAAATTTATACGGAGAAAATATAGTAAAAATCACAATGCAACTTTTTAGTAATCCGGGAATAGACTGTCACTATTATGAAAATTATAATAAAACAGTAAAAACGATCATAAATGTACTAACAAAAAGTAAACCTATCCAAAAAGTAAACCTATCCAAAAGGTACACTTCGATTTCTTTCTAATTTGGCACAAATATAGAAGTACAAAAAATATTTAGGTCATATTTTTTTATTTTGGCCCACTTTGAGTTTCACGGCCAATTTATAGCTTTTTAATGTTCTCACTATTATCAACAAGTACAATAAAAATGTATAAGAAATAAAATTGAATACAAGATATAGTTAAATAATTTTAACAAAATCAGCATAGCTGACACACGAATCATTCTAAATTTCTTTAGCCAAGATTCCAACCGAAATATTTTAAATTTGCCCTAAATTAGTCAAAAATGGTTCGAATCTCGGCCAAATCGAGAGATAAATAGATAGATAGATAGATAGATAGATAGAGAAAGAAATCCGGCAATTTTAATTAAAATTTTAACAAAATCGGCATAGCTAAGACACGAACCATTCTAAATTTCTTTAGCCGAGATTCCAACCAAAATATTTCAAATCTGTGCTAAATTAGTCAAAATGACTCCAATCTCGACCAAACTGAGAAATTATTTGTATAAATAATTTTTTCAATTTTTTACATATTTTGCTTAAACATTTTATTATTTATACAAATAATTTTACATGTGACTTCATATTTATAATCAGCAAACCAAAAACGGCTATATCTTGTATTCAATTTCTTATGTATTTTTGTTGCACTTGTTGATGATAGGAGTGAGAACATTGAAAAGCTATAAACTACCCGTGAAAATCAAAGTGGGCCAAAATGAAAAAGCATGACCTAAATATTTTTATACTTCTACATTTCTGCCAAATTAGAAAGAAATCGGAGTGAAACTTTTTGGTAGGTTTACTTATAAGAGTTATCATGTTTAGTCATTTTGACTATGTTTTATTATAATTTTCGTAATAGTGACAACCTATTCCCGGACTACTAAAATTGCTTCTATCTAAATTTAACTTGTGTGAACTTGGCACACCATATTTAAAAATGTGACATTTTTTTTAGGGTTCTGATACTCTCTTGAAAAGTTCTAGAGCTCTATATAACAATTTTAAATAGTTCCGGTCATTAAATACAAAAAAATAGACTTAAAAAAAGGTGCGCTAAGTTCACGCAGCGCACCTAATCAGTAAAATCAACTATTTCTTTAGAGTTCCGGTTTGTTTTACAATAGTTCTAGAGTTCTATATCATATATAACAATAGTTTTACTAATTAAAAGCGAAAAGTCGATTTGCGAAGACCTAATTCACAAAATGTGAAATACCGACAACAAAATAAGAGAGATTAACACAATTTCGCGAGTTCTGCATATTTGAAAATATTTTCAACATTCACTTGTAATCAGGGAATGAAAATATAAAGAGTTCTGCGCGATTGCGGTAATAAATTATTTATAAAAAATTATATAGTGTCCGAGATCGCGTAAATGTACCAGCAGCTGGGGTGCGTTAGCCGCAGTTTGAGAGTTCTGATGGTTTGAAAATATTTTTGACATTCAATTATGATCAAGGAATGAACATCCGAAAAGTTCTGTGCCATAGCTGTAATAATTTATGGTGCCTCGAAAACATGCTTGCATCCTCCGTCTATCAGAAGGCGCATGGAGGGGACGTTTCTC